TCATGTGCAGCGGGATCGGCGCCGGGCGAGTCGCCGTCCCCGTCCTGTCGTTGAGGGGCTTGGAGGGGACAACCTCTGACGTGTTGTTGGGCACGATGCCCCTCTTCGGGGGGAGAGGAGGGGAAGGCTTGGACAAGGCGGTACCACTGTTCATTGCTTGGGAAAGTTCAGCTGGAAATAAAAACCACAAAAGCCACGGTGTTTAACAGGGAATTTTCCGGATACCCTTCAGCAGCGTGGAAGAAGCACGGCAAGGCAGAGCCCAGGACTGAGCAGACTCTGCTGCTTTTTACTGGAACGCGGTGCCAGAAATAACCAGGTTGCAAGGCTCTAGTTTGTCCTTCCTGCAGCAAAGGTAAGACTTGGGAGAGCAGCCAAAAACAAGCAGGCTGGGAGAGATCCTGCTGCTCTGGAGAGAGAGGAATGGCACCAGCCCTCAAGTGACAGCACAGGGAGCTCGCCCAGGAACGTGGGCACTTTATGGCTGTATTTACACCAACAAAGGAATCTGACACATCCAGGACACCCTAGACTCCAGTTGTGTTAACAGCTCCCCTGCACATTAAAGAACTTTTTGGGAAGTCTCAAAAAGTCCTAAAGTCCTACCTTTTGCTCAAAGGCAAAAGTCAGCAGAGCTGCAGGTAGCAGTGTGCTCTTCCCACTTCCACTCACCCATCAGACCCAGCCCTGCTGGGCCAGCAGCTCCTCAGGATGAGATTCCACTCTACTCCCTCTGAACTCTGTTCCTTAATGCCCAAATAAACTACAAAATAACTAGCAAAACTTCCCAAAATACCTAAAAGCCTTGAGCCTACATATCTGCTGTGTGATGGAGGAGAGAGGGAGAAATGGAGACACAGGAAATGCCTGCAGTGGGCAACCTCAGGTTCCTCAAACCCCGCTCCACTCCTAGGGAAGAAGCTGCACCAGCGAAGACAGCTCTTCCCTTAGGAGTTTGCAGCCTTTAACATCCACATATCCATGGCTCCTGGGGCTTGGAAAGGCTTTGCCTGAAGCGGGTGAGACTCGCTGCTCGTTGCCCCGGAGCGGGTGGTGTGACACACCCACGTCGTGACACACCCACGTCGTGACACACCCACGTCGTGACACACCCACGTCGTGACACACCCACGTCGTGACACGCCCGTGTGCCCAGCGCGGAGCCGGGAGGAACCCGCAGCGCAGGCACCGCGAGAGGGTGCTGCGAGCAGGAGCGTTCCCGGAGATAAGGCCGCATAGCTGGAGAGAGGTGGGCACATTTTTGGGATGTTTAGCATTTTCAGACTTCCCCCCCCCCCGTAGATTAAGGGCAAGATTGTGCAAAACACCGAGTGCCCTCAGCTCCAGCCCAGGGGGCTCCAGTGTCTCCTGAAACATGTCCTGAGGCTGCTGCCAAGCTCTGGGACAGCAGGACAGCACCCTGTTCCCTGCTTGCTCCTTCAAGCTGCTGCTGAATAAATTCCCACTCCCCAGAAGGCTTCCCTGAGCCTTATTTTCAGCTGCTGCATCAGACACGAGAACTGCTCTGAGAATGAGCATCGTCAGGAATTTTAGGACAAAGGGGTGACCTTTCCTCTCCCCTCCCTTCCCCTGCACACCCCGTGGCTGCTGGGAAAAAGCAGGATGGCTCTGAACAGATGTTGGGCACACTCCTGTCTCCAGCCACACTTCTCGTTCCACAAGTACCTCCTGCAATTAGCACTGGGGCATTTCAAATGCCATCTGCAGCCTGTGCAAGCAGCTTAAAGAAAACAAGAAGGTATTTCATGGAGTGCTCGGGCATGGCCAGGCTAATCGAGCTGGTCTGGCACACTGGAGTGTTTAACACCATATCAAGGTCACTTGCAAAACCTGCCAGGGCAAGGTGAGCCCCGAGCAGAGCAGAGCCATCAGCTCACACTGAGAGCTCAGGCTGCTTCAGATGGCAACTTGCACATCCACCACTGCCTCCCAAACCACACCTGGGGAACGCCTCCAGTTTCTGTGATAACAGTGCAAACCTGTGGGACTGATCTTCCCAGGAGCCTCCCTCCTCCTCTGTGTCCAAAGATTAGGAGGTGTCTGTGACAGAACTGTCTGAGGTACAAACAGACTGCATGGAAGTCATCCCAGCTCTCAACGTTGCATCTTTAAGACACCCCCCAGAACTCCTACAGAGAGCAGAGACTAAAGGAGCTTTAAGAAACTCTCCCCCAAATCTTCTGCTTAGAAAAGTAACAGAGATAAAGACATTTAATTCTCTAAGCGGGAAGATTCAGCTCAAATTACAGTTGAGCTGATTTATCCATGGGACAAGACTTAAGGGCAAGACTAATATGGCAATATCCCAGCCACAGACCTTAGAGGAGGTGCCTGAGTAGAACCAGGGAAGCCTGAATTATCCCTGCCAGCTCCTGGCCTCTCTGCACTAAGTGGAAACCACATGGCCCTGCAGTGACAGCCATGACAGACATTTTTTGGTGTGATATGCATTTTTCGGGTTAGTTTGTTGGGTTTTTTTCTTTCCCAAAACCAGCTGAAAGCAGGAATTGTCCCTGACCACAGGCTTGCAAAGCAAAATCTCATCCACCATCCCCCAATCCTGGCTGAATCCCAGCCCTCAGCAAAGCATCAACATTCAGACACTGCCTTAGAGCTGACAGAGGAAAAGCAGGCAGGGACTCCTTCCTGCAGGTAGCTGTTGGGAACAGATTGGATGGCTCACAGCAGAGGACTCCAGTAATTACACTGTTCCCAGCACACGTGTGTCCTGGCTAAACACTGGCAGATCCAAGTCCAAACTGGACTGTTTCCAGGAAAAACGGTCAGACACTCATGATAGAACTAAAAATCTTCCCTTATGAAGGGAAGAGAGTCTTGGAGCAGTGGCTCCAGGACATCCCAGGGTACAAAAATCAGCTCGTGGGTCACTTACCTATTAGTGAGTTGCTATTTCTGTTGACAGGTTTGGGTGGGGGGACAGGAGGCTGTTTGGCAGGAGCTGTGCTGGTTGTACTGGTGGGAGCAGTAGTGTTGGCACTGGCAGGAGCAGGGAGCAGAGTCCTGGGGGCTGGGGAAGGGGCAGCTGTGGGATTGACTGTCTTTGCTGCAGTGGGGGCTGTGGTGGAGGGGGCAGTTCTTGCAGAGCTGCTGGCGGGCGTTGGGTCCTTTGCCTGCGCCTCGTTTGCCTCCTGGGAGGTGGAGGGAGGTCTTTTTGGAGGGAGGAGAGGCTGTCTGGGAACATGTGGCTCCTGAGGTGGTTCCAGTTCGGGCCCAGGGTGGCTGCTGGAGGAGCCTGCAAAGGGAGACAGCTCAATTTAAGGGACTGGAGAGTGGAAACAATCAGATGGGAATTCAAAACTGGTCCTGGGATGACCTAAAACCCCCATTTTGCACGTGTCCGGTTTCTTACCCTGCCTCTTTTTTGGCTCCTCTGCTGGAACAGGCTTCCTAAGGCTGGAGGGCTTCGTGGCCTCTTCCTCCTGGCTGGGCAGGTCACAGACCCCGGGCCCACTGATGGGGACTGTGTGGCCATTCTTCAGTGCAGGGGGGTTCAGCTTCTCTGGCTCTTCACCATCTGCAAGGGGATGGGAGGGGAGAGAAGCAAACAGTAAACACTCAGAAGGCAGGAGAGAGGAGAGCTGGCTGAGCTGACTGAACCACCACAGAGCCACACCAACTTCTCTGAAGCAGCTGGTCTTCAGTCACCTTCCACACAGGAGAGCACAGCAACCACCCAGCTGGGGCTGGAAGCCCTTGATTTCATTGTCAACAACTGTACAGCTCTGTATTATCCCATCAAAGGTTTTTCTTCTTCCTGTCCTGCCCTTCCTCCCGGTGTGCCCAGTGCTGTACCACAGCCCAAAGAAGTTGTAACTGCAGTCAAAATACTCCAGCAGCTTTTGGATCCACCCACCATCACAGAGCAGCCACCAACTCCCTGCTGCAGCAGATTCCAACGTGAGCCAGGGCATCTGTTGCACATGCAATAGTAGATTTTGATAAAGTCTTAAAGTTACTGGAAACACTTCTGTTTTTCTTCTCTTTTTCTTCTGTTTCTACTCTGAATTTGGCACAAAAACCAATGCTCGACCCCAAACATTCTGCAGCAAGGCAGAGTTCCCCACTTTACCTTTGTTTTAATCAGATGTAATGATACAGCTCCAGAATCTGATGTAGCTCCCCTTGGCTATTTCTGCTTTCACAGATTCTAGCATGGAGTTTCCCAAGGTCAGAAGCAAAACCTCTTTGGGAAAAAGTTCCACTTTCCAGCCCGTAATTTTGAGAGCATTTTAAACCCCGTGAGGAAATACTCAACCATTCTTTGCAACTGCCCTGACAGGACAATCTCTTGATGATGTTATTCCCAATATCAGACTTCAGCACTCACTCTAATGGGACCTTGCCCATTTTGATTGCTTTCCAACTCAAGAAAACTTGGATACATCATCAATTTGATTAAAAATCCTTTCAGTCTATCCTCTCTGAACCAACTGCAGCGTGTGGCATCAAGGCTGCAGACCCCAGCACACCCTGCTGCTCTGATTTTTGGTCATTTATTCCATTGCCCTCTTCACCTTTCCTCTCTCCCCCGCCAAGTATTACCTCCCCTTCCCCAACCTGGTGTGATTCAGAAGCTGAAAGCAAAGCTGCCAAGGAGCCAAAAGCTCTGCAGGATTTCTTTTCCAGGAGAAGCAGCCTGGGTTCCTGGGAGGAGCTGGCAGACGGCGCTGCCCCGCTCGCTCACTGCCCTTCCCTGAAAGGCAGGAAGCACAGACAGCAACAAGAGGGAGTTTCCTCCTCAGACAGGGCTGAAACTCAAGGCATGAGCCAGAGGTTTTTATAGAGCTGCTTCTGGTTATCCAAAGTTTTCAGCAAGGGAGGCAGGAACAGTAAGCTCCAGCTTTCCTTACCACTCAACCCTGCCTGCCCTTCTCAGCTCCTGATGGCTTCTCGCACCACCTCCATCCTAACTTCAGCTCCAGTGGCCTCCTTCAAGGTCAGGAGATCTAATGCCATCTCCTTTTCCTTACTCTGAGCCCAGCACCCACAACCTGGAGCCCCGAGAGCAGCAAGGCCTCCTCTCCCAGCCTCACCTCCACCACACCTCCTTCCCCACCTCCTCACTTCCTCATCTCAAAGGGTTTCCAGCATTTTAACCCCGCTGAGAACTCGCCTAAGAAAATTAACTGACCTTGTAAGAGCAGTTTTTAGAACTGCAAGCAAACACAATAACCCACCCTCACGTCTTATGACTGCCCAAGTGCCTTAAACTCCCAGGAGGGATTTAGATAATGCGCCTCTAATCTGCCCCTCCTGCCAGCACCCACTGCTCCCTCGTGCTGGGGGTTTGCACTTTGGCCACATTACACCCATCTTCTGCTTCTAAAAGCAGAGCAGATGACTCAAAGAAGAAAATAATTCCACCCCTAAGCCAGGCTTCTGTTACACCCTTACAGCGTGGACAATCTCGCTCTCCTCTGCCATCTCCAGCTGGAAGTTTGGTGCCCAAAGTCTTTGATGTCTCTTCCAGTTTCATCCTGTGACCTCACACCTTCCTGTACCCGGTGAACTCCTCCTCCAGCGCTGCACTGACACCCTTGGGTGGGTGTAGAGGCAGCATTAACAGCAAAGCTGTGTCAAGACTCTTTCTCTCAGGTTTGCTTTCAGTGGTTTGGTCTGAAAACCACTTTTTCACCTCCACTTTCCCACTTTACAGCTTTCTTAGAATGAAATCTGCACTAGGCCAAGGCTGCCTCTGCAGCGTGTCTCTTGAGGTGCAATTACACCCTAATCCAAGGACCGTGATCCCACCCAGACAGGGGGGCTGCCACCCCACCTCACCTTCCTGCCCCCTCCCGTGAACCCACACCACCCAACTCACAGCCAGGTGACTCAGTGGTGATCTGAGAACTTATTTTGGCAGCGTGATCCAACTCGGAGACAGCAGGGATGACACAGAAGGGGATCAGACTTCTTAGACTTAGATTAAAGCAGGGCAAGCTTTAATAAGCTTAGTGGTGACTATGACACCACACCATGAAGCATCTTTTGGAGGAAATGCAGCTCAGAATTCATTCATTTTTGACTCTTTTCCCAGCTGGGGCCACAGGGTCAGCACCTCTCCCCTAGTGCCGTTGGGAATGTGATTGGAACAGCTGGAAGTTGGTGAGTGACAGCAGAGGTTGGCAGGACAGGACAAGGGATCTGGAGCAGGACAGGTAGGGAGGGACAGGATGGGAAGTGAGCCACAGCACAGCCTTCCCACCCTGGAATGTGTCCAAGACAGGCAGTGAGCTTCCTCAGCAGCATCTTCCTCCCTGAGCAGGCTGTGAAAAATCAGTGTGTGAAAATCAGACCAGAGAAAGCACTGAAAAGGGTAAAACAGACAGGAACCACAGCAAAGAGCCCTTAAATTTGTGTCCCAAGGGTGAGGTTTGGCCAGAGGAAGATCAGCTACACAGACACAGACAGGAGAAGTTGGTTTGCAGACTCACCCTGCTCAGGCTCTTCCAACAGAACCCCTCTTTTTACCAGCTCCTCTCTTGGCTTTCGCATAGAAATCTTTCGTTCTAAAACTGATATTAAATTGAAAAAAGGCACTCAGAAAACAGGGCAAGCTAGAAGTTCAAGATGATAATTTATTTTTATTTTTTTTAGGGGATCCTCTGGAGGATATAAAAGGGCTTCAAATTTCACTGGTTTTGCATGGATTAAGAGGAGGGAGGAGGGACTGCACGTTCAGGCCTGCACTTCACACCACACTGGTGATCGTGGAGTGAACCCTCCCTCCCCACAGCTGCTTGGGGAGGCTCCTTGCAAGAAAGGAATTTATTTGTCTGAAACTACAGCTCCATGGATGGCAAGGTGTTTGTGGAGAGATTGCAGGTGCCAGCCCATCGCCACAGTCACACTTTTGGTTCTGACACATGCCAGCACCCAGGCTGGTGACAGCAAGCCCTTCTCAGTGGCCAGATGGCTCGTGGCAGGTTTCTCTGTGGAGG